GGAAAAGTTTGAGTGACCAAATGTTATAATAGTATATATATATATATATATATATTATATGGAGTAGGGCACAGAGAGGAAATAAGGGAGGAAATTTTTCTCCCATCTTGAAATGTATTTTTTAATCATGCTTCTGCATATGTTTAATTGAATGATATGAGTTTTTGAAATATTTTAAAAACTTGGGATCCGTTTGTTTTGAATAGTTTGTGAAAATACATGTTAAGGGTTTATTTAAGTTAATCTCTTATAGGATAGTCCTTTTGGTTAGTTCTTGATTAACTGTGGTTAGTGTTATGATTTAAGTCCTAATTTAGGGCACCTCTTTTACATCAAACACCTCCAACAACCTAATTTAATGTCATTTTGGGTATTTATTACCCTTTAACTACCAAAACCCTTAATGTCATAATTATTAGGTTTAAATAATCTAAACCACTCACATTAACTTCATTTAGATCAATTGGTTATAGACCAAAAATTATCATCCCAATACAAACCCTATAGCTCAAATCTTCAAGAAAAATGGAAGAGCAAGAGAGAATGGACATAAGAAACTTACCCTTAGGTTTTGAAAGCTTCAAAATGTCTATAAAGATCCAAATTCTCAAGCCCTAGTAGAGCTTCATGCATGTTCTTCATTTTCTCCCTTTCTTTCTTCTGAATTTTTGAATTGATGCAGCTCTACTTATGCTAAAATTTAACCATGTGTCATGGCACACGCATCACACGCCATAGTGCTTGGCACAAAAAGGTCCTTCTTCGTGAGTTGCCACATGTATGCTGTAGCAGATGTGAGGCATGTCGCGGCTTGTAGCATAGACCTATACTCCTTTGATTCTCTCCCTTTTTGAGGTCTAGTTGACCCTACTTCACTTTGGACCTGAATTTAGAGCTAAAACTATAACCTAAAACATTTGTTAGACCTTTCTAGCCACACGCCATATTGATTGACTAAATTACCTATTTTAACTTAGCTAAGCAGTGGTTAAAATTTCAAGATATTATAAATTGTGTTGTTCTTCTTTGATGACATGCTTGTATATTGTCTCTACTTAAAGACTCATATAGCTCATCTTCATGCAGTCTTTGATATTCTGCAGCGCAATCAATTTTTTATGGGAAGGTTGCTGCAAATGATTCCAAGTTACAGGTAGTATATAATTGGCCAACCCTTGAACCATAAAAGGAACTACGTGGCTTCATTGGGTTATTAGGGTACTATCAATGTTTTATTCGTCGGTATGGACTATTAGCTTAGCCATGGGCCGCTTTGCTTAAGAAGGATCATTTTAATTGGAATGTAGAGGCATATGTTTCTTTTCTAGCTTTAAAGCACGCCCATGTACGTGCTCCAGTTTTAGCCTTACCTGACCTTTAATTACCTTTCACCATTGAGACTTATGTATCTAATGTTGAAATTGGTGCAGTTTTGACTCAAGCAAATCACCCTGTTGCTTATGTCGGCAAGGTTCTATCATCACTACGAAATCAACTCCTTTGAATTTATGATAAGGAATTGTTATAAATAATAGTGCATCTTGTATCTAAATGGTATTAGTACTTTTGTGTATGCCCCTTCATTATTCTTACAGACCGAAGGAGCTCGAAGGTTTTATTAGAAACATTATTTATTCACATCTACCCAGTGCACATGGATGCTTTGTCATGAGATTCACATGTTTATATCCTTTATTTCTACTAAATTGTGGGATCGAGTAAAATAACAATAGCAGCTTGATCCACGCTTACATTATTATATCACCGATTTGACCATTAGTCTAACCTGGTTGAAGCATGCGAACTGTGAATTTTTGACCTTTTTGATTCAATATCTGATTCAATTTTGAAAACATTGTTAACTTCCCTCCTTTTATAAAAAAATTAATATTGAATTTAAATTATTCATATTAAAGTTTTTTTATAATTTTTATATATTTTATTTTAATAAATATAAATTAAAATAATAATATTAAATTTAAATCATTTAAATTAAGTTCCAAATTTTCTCCAACTACAGCAAAGACCAAGAGGTGGAATGGGAGGAGAGAACTCAAGTCAATAGGAAGTAGCTTACAGCCTCTCGCGTTGGCCACACCCTCTTCTACTAACTAAGGTCCTCCACCAGCATTCCACGTGTCTCAACTTACGTATTGCCCTGACCCTCCTGTTGCTTTCCTGCGACTTCGTATGCTGTTCTTAATCGACGTGTCATGCAGCGTCACTGTCATCCTGCTGCTCAAGTTAGGTCTTGATTCATCGGAATAATGGTTTTCCAAAAGAAGCTGCTTGAGTTGCTTGGTCTGAGGTTAAGTGTCGCTTTCCAGGGTCTGCGCGTCGTCCGCATCCTTAAGGCGAACGATGTTGTTGGTTTGTTAAAAAATTTTCCCATTTGTTAGTATTTTCTTTTAATGTAAATAAATGGGCCCAAGCGTAGCCACCAAAGATTTGGAATCACAAAATCATGGTCTTCACTTTTAAAATTGATTATTAATAAAATTTAAATAGATACTCCCTCCATTTAAAAATATAAAATATTTTTTAAAAAGTTAGATATTAAAAAATATAAAGATTTTTTTATCTTTTGAGATATAATTATTATTTTTTTTTAAAGTATCCTTATTAATGAATGACTTTATATTTATTGAAGGGTGTTTAATAGGAATAAATATGAAAAGATAAGGTTGGTTTGAAAGTAAGTAACTACTTTCTTAGAGGTGAGATTCTATTAAAAATGCCTTATATTTTTTAATGAATGGAATACATTATTATTGGATTTTCAATTTAGCTTTTTAATTATATTTTTCTAAAATTTATCCAAAAATTTTATAAACTATTTTATAAATCAAATTTTTAAATTTATAATTGATTTTAATGTGTACTCCTTTTGTTAAAAAATGTAAAGTATTTTTGAGGAATTGGATGTTTAAAAATGTAAGGCATCTTCAATCTTTCGAGATGTAATTATTGTCTTTTTTAAAAAGGCCCCCTATTGAGAAATAATTTTGTATTTATTGTAGGATATTTAATAAGAGTAAATATGAAAAGATAAAGTTAGTTTGAAAGTAGGTAATTACTTTATTAGGAGGTAAAATTTAGTTAATAATGTCTTAAATTTTTGAATGGAAAGAGTATAGAAGTATTTAAATATTTTTAAAAAATCCATTGTTTTATATTTATAATTGATTTTGGATTGTATAACATGTGCTTGGATATTTTTTAATAAAAAAATAATTTTAAATTCATAATTAATTTATATATGTAATTAAACTATTTAAATATATGTTCATAACAATGTTTTTAGAACCAAACTGAATATTAAACCGAAAAAGTCAACGATTCACAGTTCACATGATTCAACCGAGTTGGACCAATGGTCAAATTGGTGATGTAATAATTGAATTAAAAAAATTATATATGTATATAATAATCTAAATATAAGAAAGACATGAAATTGTTACTTAAATTAAAAAAAAACTAAATATTTTAAGTTTATTATGACTTAATAAGACACATGATATAACATAATATCAAATGATTAAAAAAATTAGTCATTTAAAAAATTTTTTTTTTTGAACAGTCCGGTTTTTAAAAATCGGATCCGGTTCCTAACTTGATTTTAGTTCCCAATCCTACTGCTGGTTCAAAACGGCCCAACCTAACTCTACTTCTAAAATATTTTTCTCATATGAACCAAATTGAAATCCAAACCGGTTGACGCTCAGACCGGTCTGACTATTTGGTCCGATGTGATTTTAAAAACATTGGTTCATAAAACTATAATTTTGAATTTTAAAATTGTTTTTTCATAAAATCCAAACAAGCACCTAAGCTGCTCTGCATTGTACTGAAAAAGTCATTGTGACAGATGTGGATAGAAGTGAATCGATTTTCCTCCCTTCTCTTTGACTCTCCCTGTCTACTATCCCTTTTGTTTTCTACTTCTGATTGTATCATGTTACTAAATATTACATGAAAAATAATATTCAGACGCATGCTCCCAATTTGTTTTAGTTAGATTAGTTTCATTATTTATAACATTGATTCTAACTAATGATTCATATATTAATAATCAATAACAATAAAGAGATTAAGTTGTTACCAAAAAAAAAAAAGAATTTCTATCTTGAAACTAAATTTTCTTTAAATACATGAGGCACGCTTTTTTTTAGGTTAAAATATATAAAACTCTCTTAAATTTTAAAATAAATGTATAAAATTACCTCATCTTTAAAAGTTTAACATCCACCTTGCTAACCTTTTAATTTTTTACCAGACTCCCCTACTAATATTTATTAGTTATCTTATTAGTAAAAGTTGCAAAAAAAGAACATAGTAACTTATGTGACATTTAATGTAAACTAATAATAACCATATAAATTTTTTATCCATATTTTTTCTATTATTACTAACTTACATCGAATGTCACATAAAATTCCACATGTCTTTTTTTTTTAATGTAATTTCACCACTTCGATTAGTAAGATAATTGAAAAAAATACAAATAAGAAAGTTAATAGTAAAAAAATAAAAGGTAAGGAAAGTTACTATTAAACTTCTAAAGACAAAGGAGATTATGTACAACTATCTTAAATTTTATGAGAATTTTATATATATTAGATATTTTTTTATAGAAATTTCACACGTGTTTGTGTTGGAGCCAATAATTCAAGCCAACCCGAACTCACTCGAAAATAGTCAAAACCTAGTTTGACTATATAAGCTTTTTGAAAAAGATATAATACTTTAAACCAGGCATGAATTGAACCTGACCCCTAAGCTCGAGTGCTAGAATTTTTAACTTCATATATATGTAAAGTAAATAATTTTGGTTAAGTCTGACAGGCCAGTCTAAACCCAACCTAAAAAGTTAAGTCGAATTTAATTGCATAGGCTTTTTTAAGAGGGTAAGATATTTTAAACCCGATCTGAATAAACCTGACCCGAATTGAGCCCAACCCAAATAAACTCAACCTGCCTGAATTACCGACTCTAGTATGTGTGTGTGAAACGGGATTACATACCTATTTTCTTCTTTTACCATGAAATGGGATTACATACCGGGCCTTATGGCCGATCCAATATAAATAATAGAAGAGCAAGGCTGGGGAAGGAATAATGAAGCACCAAGAGCTAAACAAGAGAATTGCTTCTACTATGAATTAACCCTAAAAGAGATACAACCAATCTCACAAACCCTATCATCATACCTCCCACCTGTATGATCCCACGGTTGGTTGTCCCATGGGCATCTCCTTACTGGAAAAGAAAGTCAACAAGAAGAACAAAGTACAAAACTGAAGTCATTCTAAATAGCGCAATGGTTTCCCCACATTGGAGGCCTACTGCTGAGGACTCAAATTATTGGATGCTTTGTATTCCTCCATTTCAGTCCTGTATCTCTCCTTATCTCTTCTTCCCTTCTCCTGATATATCTGGCATTAGAGTTACACAGATTGTATGAGAATACACTCATTGATATATAAAAGATACTATAACATATTTACTCCATTTTTAAATATAAGAGAAACTATCTTATGTTTCTTTGATTTTTATTATAAGCTAAACTACAAATTTCAAGAAGCATTAATTATATTTTTCCCAATTTGTCTCTCATAAATGGATAGTACCATTAAAATTAGAGGGAAAAAGTATACATTAATTATAATGGCATTTTAGTCCAAACATAATTTTTTTTTTTAAATTATGAGGTAGTTGAAATTCTCTCATATTTGAAAACGTAGGGAGTATTTCATACTAAGGGTCCGTTTGGTTTTCTTGTTTTTCATATTCAGAAAGCAAAATTTTACTTTCAAGAAGCTGAAAATTTGGGTAAAATATTTTGCAAAAAAGCACATTCTGAAGGTACATTCAAATAGTAATTAAAAATGAATTTTTAAAATGTAACTATTTGAAGCTTTTAAAAAGTAAATTTGAAAAGTAGAATGTTTTTTGATCATACTATTTCAAGTTTAATCTCTTATTCTTTTATTTAAAAAATAGTTAATTCATTAAGAATATAATTATTATTTCAATAATAATAATTAGGTATCAAGTTTTTAGCATTATAAATTAAAGAATTAATCATGTTAATTTTTAGCATTAATGTATAATAAAAATTACAAATCTTTATCACATTTTTTAAAATTACAAGTTAAAAAAATACAAATAACTAGAGATCAAATTTTTAGTATCATAGATCAAAAGTTATGTTATTTAAATTTTTTATCACATTTTTTAAATATTTTATATATATTACATTTATATAATAAAAATTACAAATTACCATAAATCAATATTTTTTTAGTAATTGTATATTAAAAAGCACATTTCACTATCACAAACCAAACAACTTTCAGCATACCAAACTAACTTTGAAAAAAATATATCCAAATATAAATTTTATTACAACAACTGATTTTTACTAAATTGACTTTTACTAAATGAATTTTCACCAAATAAACTTTCAGTAAATTGAAAACCAAACCCACATTGAAAGTTTTAGTGTGAGCAATTTTCGCATCTCTACTCCTTTTACGGCAAGAAAGTGTATGCAGGCACCAAGCATTTTGTAGGATTCTATTATAGGCTTCCACACAAGCACATCATGGCAATCTGACGAGTATGCATATATCATGTTTAAATTTAATTCTTTGGTTAAAAAAAAAAAAAATCTAGGAAACTAGGTGAAAGTGTTAAAATCACACGGCAGAACATTTAACGATATAAAATGAGATTTGAATTTTTACCAAACCAAATAACATCTATCAGTTAAATATGGATCTCCAAATGGCAACCAACGTAAAAGCAAATCAGTATGAAATACCCAGGTATGATCATGAACTTTCTGTACCACAATGTGGAGTTTAGAATATTGGCCATGCCAGAGATTTAGTTTCAAAAATGAGCATTCGTACCTGTCTTTCTGCATCAGTGAGATGGTTCCATAAAAACCCAATCTTCTTACTAATTGCTCTCTCTTGCCCATAGTATAAAGGCTTCAACCTGGCATAGTGTTCAGCAAAGAAGAAATTGTAGCCACTCCTGTTTGATTTGGGCCGAGAAGGATCATGTGAACCCAACCTTGATCTCTTTCGATTCACAGAAGCAGGTATGGATGCAGAAGTCTGTGATGCATTGAGAGGAACGTGATACAGCACGCCTTTCAGCTGGTCAGAACCCAGATTCACAGTGACTACATACCCACCATCAAATTTCAAGTCGATGGTACCAGGCACCAAAGAGCCAAGCTGCTGCTGGAGCGGACAAACTGCATATGAGATAATGAAATCCACATCAGAGCTATATTAAAGCAGATATTCATTCTCTTTATCATTATTTGTGAGCTCAGAGAAAATTGATGGTACAATTTATCTAACAATAACAATTTGTATTTCAAGAGACGAAATTCAATTTGACAAAAGAACTGATGAAAAGGCAGAGAAGGCTCTTTGACTATTTAGGTTTTCTCTCTCAGAAATTGTGCACGTCTTGTTATCGCATGCCAATAGATAGCCCTGACAAGCTGAACGTCCAGCCGAACAGACCTTCCGAGGGGATGTCCCCAGACAGCAGGAAGAAGAAAAAGAAACAAAAACCTCTTACCAAAAATGAGAAGGATACGACCATGGATGACCAAATGGTTAGCACTGAGCAAATACTAAAAAGGAGTTGTGCAACACACAGACTTAGGGTGTCTTGTAGACAAACCAATAATCTTTGGTTAAGCAAGTTTCATATAGAGACTCCCAAGCCTATTAGGCTTCAAAGGGGCAGCTAATAGAAACTTGGCTAAGGAGGATGACAGCATGCTCAATGATTTGGAGGACACCCCGTGGGACCTCTTGGAACCATCAAAAAATCTCAAGCAACTGATGGATATCTACCCCATGGTCCCTGTTACTGAGAAGGAATACAAAGAGTGGCGCCAACCATGTAATATGTCCCTTGTTATCACATCATTGGGAAAAAGGATCAATCTCATTTGAAGGACTACCTTCAGTGCATTTGGAATATCCCATACTTCAAACTCCTTGACCTTCCTTACAACTACTTCCTCATTCTCTTTAATGAGGAAGATGAACAATGGAAGGAGCAGTAAAAGACAGTCCATTTAGAAGGACCATGACAGTAAGGCAACACTGCATTTGCCCAACGTTGGTCACCATATTTCAATGCTCTACATAACACTTTGGGCAGAACAGCGGTATAGGTTAGGATTCCCAATATCCCTGTGCACATTTACAACCAAAAATTTATCTGAGGTCGGGGGTATTAGCCTTCCAACTAATTGGCTGAACAGCTTTAATTAACATTTCTTATCCTTTATTATATAGGGTTCTGATAGATTTTGTAAATATATTTGATATTATTCTTATCCTAGGGATTAACCGAGATTGCTGTGGTTAAACCTATATAAATAGTCGTGATTGTGAATGGAATAATCAACTTTTGCGCCCAATTTCAACAAGAATTTTTTATCTACTTCCCATAAGCAGCCAATAAAACAAAATCTAGTGCTAGATTCTTTTATTCAGTAATATATATATACACACATATACATATATATTAACCTAAGTTTCAAACCACACATCAAAATGCAACAAAGAAAATTAAAAATAATCAATCAAGGGAGCATAAGAAAAGATAGGATATAAGAAAAAAAAATCAGACAATGTAAATATTTGACTGGTGAAGCTTAGCATAGCTTTGATAAAGGTTAGACTAGCTTGATTAATTGCAAATAAATGGTAGAGTAACTATAGGGACCATGGCAACAAGATTGCCACTAGAATCCCATGAGACAAGCCATAAATTGAAGGGCGCAAATGTACAATTGCCATCACTCATAGAGTTGGTCACTCGCCATCAGAAGGGAAATGACAATGAAGGGACAATTACAAAAGAGTTGAGTCTCAATAGCAATGAAGGCTGCAGATAGAAAGAAATGCCCAGTGATTATGAAAGTCATATTCAGGAAAGAAATGCCGAGTGACAATGAAGGTCATAATCAGGAAGAAAAATAACAAGGCATCAAAGAAAGGTCTTTCTTAATGCTAACCAAACAACAACAACAAGCCTTATCTCACTAGTTCAGATTAGCTACATAGATTGTACGACGCCACTATGCTCTATCATTTACCAAACTCTTATAAATGTTGTTAACCAAAAAGTCTCGATCAATAACTTCTAAAAGTGTTTTTTTTTTTTTGAAAGTTTTATAATACTAACACTATTCACTAATTTTCAAAGCTTCACCTATGGCCTTAGGATGAACAATCAGACACCACAGATCAAGACAGGTGGCAGAGACTAGTTCTGGGAAAGTAACAATAGAAGATGGTGCGTCACCCACCACTATTCACAGCCACATGACACACTGAATAGCTATGCAAGATGCTGCATGGAACAAAAGATGAAGATTGGACTAGGATTGGACTAGGATTAAAATGACCAGAACCTTTTGAACATAGTGAAGGGGTGCATGACACCCTTCTCGTTGTCCATGTTAACAAACCTACATCCAAACACAGCATCTAATGATAGACTTCTAAACCCTGCGTGGCTTCACTTTGGTCAAGTTAGGATGATCAAAAGATACAAGCCATAGGCAACAATGCCATATGGTACTTTGAAACCCAAATTCTTTTTTCATTTTATTTAGAAAAATAGGCATTACATAAGATATAATTGACCACAAACCCAGCTAATCAAATACACCCATCAATGCCTTAAAGCCGCACAAAACTCCATAGTAAATTCACAAAAAAATTAAGAATTACCACAATCCACATCAAACCACACCTCTAGTCTTCTAAACAGATGACAGATTCACCCCTTAAAGTACACGACCAAATCACCCTACCACTAAAGCTATGCTGTTGTGAGTGACCCACAAAAGCCCTCACATGCTGACAAGCTTTTTGCATGTGGGCCTCAAGCAGCCACAAATGCCTCACATCAAGACATTGTTTCCGTCATCTTCCTCAATTTACTTCTGTTCTGTCATTGTCAATGGGTATTTGCAGACATTCCTACTAGTTTTGACTCACTAATCACTCATGAAAGGGCAAATCACTCATGTGGGCCTCATCCAAGGAATGTCAAATACAATATGTCCAAAATAGAGTTAATAACTTTACGTGATGGTTTGACCATCATTTTGAGGAGGTGGTTAAGCAGACAAATCACTAGCAAAAATGTGGACGGTCTAATCAGAGGTTAGGGTATCCAAAGTCAGGCAGAAGGACATAGCCTCATAATCATTGAAGAAGTTATTGCAGAAGAGCCTAATGATATAATAATAGTGGAACCCCATGCCTGCCCATCAGACATCAATGAGGATGGTAACATCATAGATTTTGAACAGCAGTTTGAAGTAAAGTTGGAATATGAAAATCATGAGGCTTTGAAACAACATTCAAAAGTTAGATTCTCAAATGCAGAAAATCACACTCTGGATCAAACATTTATGTGAAGATATGTGGAACCTCTTGATTGAATATCAAATATCAATGATGATGGTAACAACAACAACAACAACAACAACAACAACAAGCCTTTATCCCACTAGGTGGGGTCGGCTACATGGATTGCAAGACGCCATTGTGCTCTATCATTTATTAAGCTTTTAGAAATATTATTAATTAAGAGATCACGTTCAACAACTTCCAAGAGTGTTCTCTTAGGCCTTCCTCTACCTCTCTTAATCGGACTCAAAGTTATATGTTCCACTCTTCTCACTGGTGCCTCCCTTGGTCTTCTTTGTACATGCCCAAACCATCTCAACCGATTTTCTACCATTTTTCCTCAATAGGTGCCACCCTCACATAAATTATTCTTTTATAGGCAAATGGTAACATAATCAATTCTAAAAAGCAGTCACTAAATTTAGCTGCGAAGATATGAGGCTTTGAAATAAGATTCAGAAGTTAATTTGTCAAATGCAGGAAATCACATTCAAGACCAACCAAAAGCTACGTCGAGTCAAATTTATTACTCCATGTACTGGACACCGGAGTCTGAAGCAGCTTTTACAATCAACTTCATTGACCATTACCTTACCTAACACTCTAAGATGGATTATATTAAAAGCATATAAATGTCAACCAATAGTTAAAAAATAAATAAAGTTCGATTGTAAATGTTTAGGGAATCAAATTGAGGGGCTTTCTAGTAGAAGGACCACAATTAAGGGGATAATCTTTTAAGGACAAAGTCAATAATTAATCTAATAAATTTAATACAATAACACCCAAGCACCCGAGGCAGAAGACATAGAATCTACTATTTATTCTTGATTCTAGAGTTTTATTCTCAGTGGAACCATATATAACTACTGGCAAATCAATAACACGTCAATGCAGTAAACCCATTACACTTAAATTGTAAGTTGATAAAACTGACCTGGTAAAAAATCATTCAAAGCATCAACTTCCTTTGAGCTCAATATGCTCCTGCTACCAGAATCTGATCGTATGAAACAACTGATCTGTCAATAGAGTAAAATCTGATGCATCATAATTAGAGAAAAGAAATAACAAATGTTGTTTCTTACCAGGCATTGAAAAAGAAGGGGCTTGCTTGCGAAAATAATAAACCTGCTCAAAGTCATAAAGCAATGATTGATAGTATTTGCGCAATGCAAATGATGCGCTGGTTACAGTGTCTGGGAATTTGAAGACTGTAATCACTTCCTTCCATTTACGATCTCCAATTACCTATGTTAGTTTAAGAACATGCATAAGAGAAGAATTAAAATAATTTATTCAGAAAAATATTTAAGACAACAGAGTTGAGTCACAGTTAAGTTAAAAATTTAAGAATCTCTAAACCAAACATCTTATCAACTACAACCAAAAATGTCCTTTTTCACTTACGTTCACGCCTAACTCAAGTTGATCAATATCATATGAGAAAAGGAATGAATTAAACATATATTTTCTAATATATGACAAAAGAAGATTTGGATTTTCTTGTAACCTTTCTTAAAGAATGAATTTTTGATGTATAAGAAAAATCAATACATACCTTTTCAAGCCCACCACGAGAAGTTACTTCAATAAAAAGGCGATATAGATCTAGTGGCTTTCCTCCTATAGTTGGAACTCTAAACATAAAAGGAAAAAGAGTGTCAATTTTATTAACCTATTGTATGAGTAATTTGCAATTCATACCACATTTTCAGACTTGTCTTAGTAAACGCAAAGATAAAGAGAAAAGCAAAGGTTGCAGTCTATTAAGCTGTGTAATGCCAATTAGAAGGAAGCTTCAACTTCCTCGAGCATAAGCCCAAATTGATCAAAGAAAAGTAAAAATTACACAACCTCAACTTGATTCTATTGTATAAAGTTGCATATTAAAAGTTTCTTTCCCACCTTCAGAAGGTTCAATTAGAAGAGAAGTTGCACTCACTTAACCATTAAAAAAGAAATATCATGCATAAATTCAAGGCAAAGTCGGGAGTTCTCAATCATGGTGACATTTATTTCCAAAATATATCCTTTCAGTGGTTAGGAACAGAAAACAGACACGGAGATAAAAGATTCTTTACAAGCAGAATTCATAAATTGAGAAAGTTATATTTGTGACTGTTGTTGTACAGAAGAAGTAAAAGAGAAAAGGTATTGGCAAATCGCCATCCTACTAATGGTAAAAAATCATGAATAATCTGGTTTTTGTTATCTTTATAGGGGTATGAATCGATTTTTCCAGATTGCAAGCTATTTGGATGGAGTTTGAGATGTAAAACATGGGTTTCAAATAAATTAGAGCGCTAGTGTCTCAGAAGCAAATTCCTTGGATTCCTAAACATGAACCAGCACACCAAGGATTACGTCAAAATCAAGCAAAAAGAAATCCACTACGAAATCATGAATAAACACAGAGAGAACGGAATAGAAACGAATAATCCAAAGTTAATAATTCATAAATTTGCAAGTAAGAACGTCCTTAGCCAATAAAACCACAAGATTACAAATTATACTGCACCGAAATCCACTGAAGGGCGAAAGATGAAAGAAAAATCGTTGCCCCGCATCAATGGCATTCGATGCCAGACAAGCACACATTTTGGGGGCAGAGAAACTACCATAACTCCAACGAATACCGCAAATTATCACTGAACAGCATAATTAATACACTAAAAGCGCACTCACTTTAATGTGGTGCCTAAGGATTTGTGGAAATCCTGAAGGTTATTCCAGAAAAAGTCCGAACTGCTAGCGAGGTCCTCATAGAGAGCGTTCGCAGGTGGGTAGTACTTCGTACTTCTGACTGAGGACTGTCCATCTGATTCCGCAGTATTCGCAGTGTGATACCGAAGGGGCGAATCGACCAAACTGGCTGTCAGAGGCTCGCGCGGGGGCTTAGGATTCGACATATTATTTTGGTTGAAAGAAAAAAATATAGAAGATATTTCATATGCCTTCCTAATCCCTCCTACCACCGCCTGAACAAAGAGGCATGGCATTAATTATTAACATTAAACATGAAAATTCTATGTCACGCTTTTTATTCTCTCTCTCTCTCTTTTCCTTGGCATAGTTCATTCCTCAGCATCGTACACTTGTTATTCATGAGCTATTTTATGGACAACTTAAATGTCTTCCTTCTTCTAGCCAGATTTTAAGGATTTAAGGATTTCATATTGGATTTTGTCAAGGAAAAAAAAAACCAATAAATGAGAGTATTAGGAGAGAAACATATTATATTATAACCTAATTACACACAGAGAATAAAATAGTAGAATCCTTTTCATCAAATGCAAGGTACAGCAAATACAACCTTGTAAGAGAGAAGAGAGAGGAAAGAGAAGAGTAGTCAACTCTAAAGCGTGTTTTCCTTTGAGCCAAATGTGCGTGATTGCAGGTTCCCAATGTCATTTATCACAACTTTTTTGAAATGCCTAAGCTAATAAGATTTTAGGAAGAAACGTGATACTAATTGTAGGAAAGTAACCATTTATTCACGAGGAATGTATAATGTAGGTGAATGAAGCAAAAAACAAAATAATGAATCTATATGGCCTAAATGGAGAATAAAGGTCACGTTATGTGAGGTTTTGGCTTGATTAAGAATCAGTTGATAGGTTGAGTTTGATGATTGTCGAGAGAGAACTCTTGTTGTACGCATTTTACTTTTATAAGTTTAAATCATCGCCCTCTAATTCAAATTTGAATTTCTATTGCCTTAAAGGAGTTATAACTGTTCTTGCCATCTAAAGGAGTCAAGTGCTCTGCAAAGGGGGAATGTGGCCTAAAAAGTGCTCTGAGATTTTTGGAAACATGATTACATGACTAGGACCAAGTTGCCGCTCCCTTCTCACTAAGCTTTGACCCCTTAAGGGTCCTGGATTTATGTCCACACCTTTTTATTTTGGGCTTCTTAAGGATAGGTCTGGCCCAATAGGATATTTTTGGGTCTAAACACCTTTTATATTGCCTTTTGTTTTCTATCTAGCTTTGCTATTTTCTTTATTTCTCTAGCATGTGGATGTTGCTTTAATATGGATTTGTTGTACTCACATGAATCTCATTTGTGCTAGTCATATCTTTATTTCTCTATTATGATGTATTTTGGCTCCTATTATTTTCTTTTTTTGGTTTTTTGGTCATAGAATCTTAATGCTCTTTCACACAACCTATCCCTTCATTAGCAATGACTTCATTAGTTTGGGATTTGTGAATTAATTGAGGGCAAATTAGTAAATTAGAGTATTAATATGTTAATTCTGTTTCCAAATTTATAATGAACTTGTTGGATTGTTTAGATAGCCTTAGGATGGGCTAGGATTTGTGAATTAATTGTGTTTCTAGTTAGAGGACCCAAAATCACAAGTTGGGCTTATGTATCATTCGCCGTGATGAACAATTCAAAATTTGATAATAGATGCCAATGGGAGTGAAAAACAAAAGAGGAAAACAGAGAAATGGAGGAGCACAATATTGCTCTATTAGGGCTTTAATTTTTCCTTAATTGGGAGCTATCTTGGACATATAATTATGTGGGTAAGCTTTATATCTTCTTCCTCTCTCATTCTACACAAATTTCTTTTTGGTTATGTGTTGGGGGCAAATGATTTCTATTCTTGAAGGAGAATTGAATGAATCTGTTGATTTAAATAGAGTTTTGAAAGTTAATTTAAGTTTCTATACTTAGGGTTAGTAGTTCTATGGTGTTTTGTGGTTGGGCTCTTGGGTTGGAAGAGCCCTATACTCACATTGGGAGTTTAGGAGCAAAGTGAACCACTAGATAGATTTTAATGGAGGTTAATTGAAATGAAAGGTTATGAATGGTTGGGTTATGCTAAATATGGGAGTTATGAGTTTAAGTTATCTAATTAGAGTTAAAACTATGTATATTAATGGTGGTAATCGACAAAGTAATGTTTAAATATGTAGATAAACATACTTCAATATTCTTTGAGAAAAGAGGAAGCTTTAGGAGTGGATAAATTCTATAGGCAACCATTTTCGAGAATAAATGAGTTGAGGTAACTGGGTGATCTAATCCTTTTACTTTCTTGTTTAGTTTGCAAGTTTCTGTGAAAATTAGATGTGGTTTTGATATGTATATATAAAAGTATGTTTTGTTTCAAAAAATTATGTAAAGTAGGAAATGGTTTTGGAAAGAATTACATATATAATTGTGAAAATGATTTCAAAGAAAATTATGCTAAGAGTTGATTGTAGAATCAGATTGGCATCTAAGAGGGGGATGAATTGAGTGTTTTTAAAATTTTCAAAAACTTTTTGCCAACTTAAAGATGAAGCAAAATATAGATCAATTTAAACACAAGTTTGGAGATAAAAATGAGTTTTTAATTGAGAAGAGAAGTGGATAAAAATGATTTATCTTGATTCATCTTACCTCTAGTCCTCAAAATCACATTTGAGATTTTTTACTATAAATACAAGCTTTAATGGGTATTTGCCATTGCATTACAACCACAAGAAATCAAATGTCTTGATTTTTAACAACACACTTACTTATACAAGTAAGCTGTTACAAATTCTTAATTAGAAAATCCTTTCTAAGATTCTCAAAGACAAAGTAAAACAAATTTTTTCAACTCAAACTCTGAAAAGAGTAGATATAAAACAATGAATACTTATAAACTAATTAAGAAATTTTTCACATAATGATAGAAAGAAATCAATGCATGACACTAAATGCTCATTCAATATTATTATCTACTCAGTTGAATGAAATCCTATATATAGAACAATGTTTTTCAAACTATTGGAACCCTTAGAAAGCATATCATAACCATTAGAGACAAGCTAAAGTGATCAAAGATAGAGAAAGCACTTTTTCTGCAAAGTGCATAAAATGCTATTAGAACACTCATTTAGCATGGACAAGAGTGATCCAAGTATAGATGAACTCTCTACACTTTAGCTCACCTATCACTTCACAATGATCCAAGCATAGACCATTCAGGGTTCAAGTGTGTATGATGTGTTTGAAGCACCAAGCTTCTCTATAAGCCTAAACAAATGTGGGTAATTTGTGTACCAAGCGTGAATGAGTGTACAGAGGTACCTTGCCTATCTATAATGTGAGTCACGCTTGGGCACTCTTTAAACCAAGCTTCATTAGTTTGTTTAGCACTAAGATTCACTATAAGTCAGGCTTGAAGGCTAACAAGTGATTCATCCATTCAAGTGTAGGTTTTACAAAATCTAAGTATGGATTGCTTCTTAGACATACCTCAAGTTAACATTAAGGATCAATCTTAAGAAATAAAAATAGCATCCAAGCATAAATTAGATCACAGAAGCTTAACCAAGACATTTCTCCATACTGTCTTGCTAATCAATTGTGGACACAAGGATGTCCAAGCGTAAACCAACGTACAATGCTATGTCTTCACTCCTAGTTCTCTAATTCAAGCAAAGTCCCATTATGGTTCAAACTTGAATGAGATCTTCTAAGTCCTATATGTACAAAAGATGATCAATCACGGGTAGGATGTAATGGCCGCCTTCACATTACTAACACATGGAACACGAGATACATAACATTATTGTGATAACCAAGATTAATTAAATTCCTTATACAAGATTATCACAATATAAGGGTTAAAAGAATAGTTTAAGAGATTGGGATTCTAAGAAACCCTTTTTGATGATGTTTAAGCTCAAACTATAATTTGAAACAAGTTAAATAAAGTAGCAAAAGCATAGAAGTTAATTACAACCCTTAAAAATTGTTATTTAATTATTTTTTTATTGTCATATTAATTGCAGGTTCACTATGATAACTGTATTATTGGATGAACTACAGTAATTGTCTTAAATATCCATAGTCAATCATCTATGAGGGATCATAGATGAAATAAGATTAGTATGACTTTGATTAACTATAGACATATAAATCAAAGTTATAGGTACTTGAAAGGGTACAAGGTGCTGGACCAACCTGTTATGAGAAAGCCACATGATACAAGTCATAAGCCTATCTCATATGTAACCATGTCACTATGACCTATACCTTAAAATCCTCATGGATTTCTACATGATGACCATTGAACTTTGATCCAATCAAAAGTCATCTTTAATTGGGTGATCATAAAAGATATGATTGAGTTTAGTGATATTCATGGAGAGGAATATGAATGGTCAAGATAGAATTTGTTCCTCACATTACTTGAGAGATATTGTTAGGCCTTTTGATAAAAAAGGCTGAGAAAATATATGGCCATACTATAATGATAAGGATTTTTCCATTATTATAGTTAATCCACTCAGAGATCGATAAAGTAATGGTCTGGTAAAGGAGAGTGACAATTTCATGTCTCACACTTGACTAAAATATCATGTAATAAAAGAAATGTGATATGGTTATATGATAAATTGGGTAGTCACAAGTCATGCTTGAGGCCACTTGTGATGTAATGTATGTCTTGACATTACCAGAACAATGCTCTAACACATCATTGTGATAACCATGATTAATTAAAATCCCTAAATAAAGCCATCACAATCTAAGGATTTAGAAATAGATAGTTTAAAATATTGGGATTCTAAAAATCTTATTTGAAAAGCTGTTTGAACTCAAACCATAGTTTAAAATAAGTTATAAAAGCTAGCAGAAGCAAAAAAGTCAAATAACCTATCAAACAAGCAGTAAAAGAGGCATTTTTGATTGCCCAAAAAAGTCAAATACCTGAAGTTCTCATTGTGCAATCCGCCACGATGCGAACAACCTGTACTACGGCATGTCATTGCTATCATGACAACAAACAACTGTCACAACAACGCTTTAGATCCAACTTTCAAAGCGAGCCATTTCACCATCTGACATTCGATTTGAACAGTACAAGCATCCACATGTAGCTCATAACATTTTACCATCTAACTATTGGCATTAGTCTCACACCCAAGTATTTAACTATTTAACAATTAGACACTTGAATCCAAAATGATCTATTTTTAACCCATAACACACATAAAGGTGTCCAAAACTCATAACATAGTACTAATAGCTTTAGAACCACTTAGACCAACTCAAATAGGCACAC